GCTTTGGGGGTTCAAAACATTCCCACCCCTTTTCCCCTGGGTTTGTGGGCTGGCTTTTTGCCCTGGGCTGGGATGAAGAGAGCCAGGGTAGAGCTGCTTCTCTGTTTGCTCATCTGTGGGTTTGTTTTTGTATTTCTTGAGGGGAACTTGCTGTTGGGAGGGTGGAGGGGAGGAAGAGGAAGGCTTTGATACCCCAGAGTCTGCAGGAATAAGGTTTTCAGTCGACTGTAGGGAACTGTTTTGATTGCAGGGATGGCAAATGTTTGATGTGTTATAAATAGGGCTGACTGTGATGGAAAAAAGAAAGCGAGTTTTAAAAAAAAACCCTGATTTTTGGGTTTCTCTTGGTGTGTTTTGCTTGTTTGAGGCTGAGGGAATTAGGGATAATTTTCCGTTTTAAAATATTTAAAGGCTGGAGAGCAAAATATCAAAATGAGGTCTGTGAAATCCCATGGGGAAGCTGGTGATTAGCAGAGAATAACACAGACTTGGGCTCCCTCATCCATGAGCTGGGCAGATGATCCTTCAGGGTGGGTGTGCTGGAATCTGCCCTTCTCCAGCTTTTGAGGAGCTCCTCAGCTGGGGAACTTTGGCTGCTGGCACCTTCCCTGGTTTATCAGGAATTTTACTGATGGTGCAGCCCAAAAATCACCTTTTATTCTCCACATCTGTCCCACCTCTCCACCTGGAATGATGCAGGAATTCCTCAGCTGGGACTGCCCAGCTCTGCTCCCAAAATCTCTCCTAGTCCTCCCTGCTCCTGAATGTACCCAGGCACATCCCAGGCAGGCTCCAGGAGCTGGGAGCAGCTGAGCAGCATTCCCGTGTTCCTTCCCAAACCCAGCTGCCAGGAGAACCCCTGTGCATCCCTCCTTGCCCCTCTCCATGCACACACACCATTCCTGCCTCTCCCCTGGCCACCCTGGCTCTTTCCAACAATGCTTCTTTCATTCCCAAAGATCTTCCCCCGCAAGGGGAAGTCGGGATTGTTCCCATTCCCACACCCCTGCCAAGGGATCTGAAGGAATCCCCTGAGCTTCAGAGTGAAGCTGTGGAGTGGGACTGGAGCAGCCTTGGCTGGACAAGGCTGTGTCCAACCCCTGTGGATGAGTCTGCCAAGGGATCTGCAAGGAATCTGCCAGGGGATCTGCCAAGGGATCTGCCAGGGGATCTGCCAGGGGATCTGCCAAGGGATCTGCCAAGGGATCTGAAGGAATCTGAAGGAATCCCCTGAGCTCCAGAGTGAAGCTGTGGAGTGGGACTGGAGCAGCCTTGGCTGGAGAGGGGCCCTGTCCAACCCCTGTGGATGAGTCTGCCAAGGGATCTGCCAGGGGATCTGCCAAGGGATCTGCCAAGGGATCTGAAGGAATCTGAAGGAATCCCCTGAGCTCCAGAGTGAAGCTGTGGAGTGGGACTGGAGCAGCCTTGGCTGGACAGGGCTGTGTCCAACCCCTGTGGATGAGTCTGCCAAGGGATCTGCCAAGGAATCTGCCACGGGATCTGCAAGGAATCTGCCAGGGGATCTGCCAAGGGATCTGAAGGAATCCCCTGAGCTCCAGAGTGAAGCTGTGGAGTGGGACTGGAGCAGCCTTGGCTGGAGAGGGCTGTGTCCAACCCCTGTGGATGAGTCTGCCAAGGGATCTGCCAGGGGATCTGCCAAGGGATCTGAAGGAATCCCCTGAGCTTCAGAATGAAGCTGTGGAGAGGGACTGGAGCAGCCTTGGCTGGAGAGGGCAGTGTCCAGCCCCTCTGGATGAGCTCTCCTGAGGATGAGGCTGGCTGGATGCTGAGCTGCTGGGAATGCTCCCTGCCCCCAGGAAGCTGAGGCAGCTCCCTGTGCTCCCATCTCAGGCTGGAGCAATCTGGGGCACGTTTGGGCTGTGACCTTTTAATCCGTCAGGGCTGTGCTCCTGGCTCCTGGGCTGGCCCAGCCCTCACCTCCCTTGCAGGACCTGTGGGTGGAATTCCAGGTGAAAAATGTGCCAGGAGCAGCCAAGTGGGAGCAGATTGTATCTGCCCAGTGCCAGCTGCAGCGCCCTGGGCCAATATTTGCTCTGGGAGGTGTTTGGCCAAAGGCTCCCAGGGTGAACCCCTTGCATGTTTCCCATCCACACACCAGGGAGGCCAGACTTGTTCTGCCCTTCCACTCCCAGGGAATGGTGGGGTTGGTTTTTAACCATTTCCCTGTCTGCTCGTGCCATCCTTTCCCAGTCTGGCTTCAGGAGAGGTGAGATCCCAGCTGGGGGAACAGGGATGTGTCCCGAGCCTTCTCCTGGCTGCTCAGGAAATCAAAAGGCAGAAAAATTGTCAGCACATCCTCCAGAAAGCCCCATAGCTGCTTCCTGGGGGAAGGGCAGCTGGAATCTGCAGCGCCAGCATTCCTCCAGCTGCCTTCCAGCTCCCTTAGGCCAAGCAATGGATGGATAAACCCTTCCTTCCTTCCTTCCATGGATCCTGGAGAGGCCAGTGCTTCCCAGAGGAAGGCAGGCACCCCCTTCCCATCCTTCCCATCCTTCCCAGGCCCTTTGGGGGCAGCACCATGGGATGCACAATGGGGCACTCTGGAATTTTGGCTCCCTGAGCGTGCTGAGGCTCCAGGTTAAATGAGGAGCTGGTGACAGCTCCTCCAGGCTCGTGTCTGGGGGATCTGTGTGGGTTTGTCTCCCTTCCTGAGGGCTTTGGGGGTGTGGGGATGGAGTCCCTCCTCCTTTCCTCCCGTGCTGACGCCTCCCAGTTTAATTAGAGCCAGCAGGGAGAGAACCTCAATCTTATTATTCCCTCCCAGCAGGGCAGCAGCAGCATTTCTTGGACGTCAAAAGGAGGATTAAATTAGTCTGGAAATGGGGGGGTTTTGCTTCCTTCACTTCTCTGGGCTCTCCAGAGGGTGTGGAGCCTCCGGAATCGCTGTGCTGATGGATTCTGCCAGCCTGGCACGCGGGCCCCTCGCAGCAGGGTCCTGGCAGGGGTTATTCACAGCTTCCCAGGCCACAAATCCAGGGAGAAAAGTGGGATTGGAACTGCTTGGGATGGCTGCACCCTTCCCAGGTGTGTTAGGGACAGAGCAGGCTCCCGGGGCTGCGAGCTGGGTGGAAGGGATCCTGTTCTGGCTGTGGGATTCTTGGCAGGGACAGGGGGTGGCAGCTGGGGCAGAGCTGTGCCCTGCTGAGCTTGTCCTGGCAGGCCTGGCAGCTGCTCCTGGGACCTTTTCCAGGCTCGAGAGAAGAGCGTGCCTGCCCAGCTCGGGGCTGGGGTGTGTGCTGGCATGGAGCAGGCGTCCAAGGAGAGCAGGAAATCACACTCAGATGGGTTCTGGGGCAGCTGGGGGTGATGGGATCCCCTGGAGCTGCCTGGGCATGGCATGGCAGGGTTTGGGGAGCATGGAATGAGGGGCAGGGGGCAGCAAATAAGAGCAGGGAATGGGGAGCAGAGATTGCCCAGCCTGGTTCGCTCTGGCTGTGTCCTGTGTCCCTCATCAGAGGGTTGAAGTAGGAGAGTGAAATCCAGAGCTGGGTGAACCAAGAGACCCTTCCTTCCTTTCCTTTCTCTCTTTCCTTTCCTATCTCATTTTCCCCTTCCCTTCCCTTCCCTTCCCTTCCCTTCCCTTCCCTTCCCTTCCCTTCCCATGGCTGGTTTGGTGTCTCCAGGTGCTTCTGAACCTGGATAATTCCCTAAAGGGATCCCTCCCCCTCTTCCTCAGAAAACATCCAGCCCCATTTTGTATCCTCACGGGACCAGGAGTGTTCCAGAGGAAGAAAGCCTCGATAAAAATCAAATATTTGATGTTGGAGTAAACAAACCCGATTGTTCCTTCAGATCTGGAGTTTTCAGCACAAACAGAGGAATCCTGGCAATGCCCCGGGGCAGGCGTGGAGCCCTGGCAGCCTGTGCCAGGTTTCCCAGACCACTTTGGATGTCTGGATGGGGAATTTGCTGTTGTTTGGAGCAAAATAATCACTAATTGCTCCCCACAGCTCCCTGACAGGAGGGCGGAGCCAGGTGGGGTCGGGCTCTGCTCCCAGGGAACAACAGGACAAGAGGAAACGGCCTCAAGTTGCACCAGGGAAGGTTTAGATTGGAAATCAGGGAAAATTTGTTCATGGAAGGGGTGGCCAGGCATTGGCACAGCTGCCCAGAGCAGTGCTGGAGTCCCCATCCCTGGAGGTGTCCAAAAATCACACAGATGTGGCACCTGGGGATGTGGGCTAGAGGTGAACGTGGTCAGACTCCGTGATCTTGGAGGTATTTTCCAACCTCAGCCATTGCATGGTTCCAGTTTTGGGCAATCCCCATGTCCTGCATCCCCAGGAGTGCAGGGGCTGGGAAGGGAACATTTTCCTGCCTGGGCTGCAGGGAAGGACACTTTGGGGGGGGTTCCTGGGGGCATTGGTCACCCCTGGGCTGCAGTCAGGGACTGGGGCTGTTCTTGGACCGAGGAATCCCCTCAAGAAGCTGCTGAGCTTTCCCATGAAATGAGCCCTGACTTCCCAGCTTGTCAAACATCTCCTCTGACAAAGGATTCCAGCCCCTTGTCCCAGATCCTGAGCTGCTCCAGCAGTTCCAGAGTGGTGGCTGTGCTCTCCCCCTGCGCTCCCCAGGCTCTTCTGTGCTGCCTGCTGGGAGCTGAGTGTGTTCATTCCCTGTTTACTTGGATTTTGCTGTGTGTGAAACTGAGTCCTTGGCTCCAAATGGAGCTGAGAGACGTTTGTGCTGCTTGTTTTTTCCAGCAGGCGTTGGAGTTGGAGCCGTGGGCTGGGATTTAGGGAGCTGTGGAGCTCCTGGTGGGTGAGGAACGTCCTGGCTGAGCCAAGCTTTGGGTGCTCGGGGATTTTTGGGGGTTTGGTGGGGTCTTTTTGAGGGGCTTTGGGCTGGTCCTGCTGCCTCCTTTCTCTTGCAGGTGCTGTCTGGACCATCCCTGTTCCCATTCTGTCCCAGGGAATTCCTCCTTGGGGTGGGAAGGTTCAGTCAGTGCCTGATCCTCCTCCCTTGTCCTTTCTCCACAGCTGGTCAGCGAGAAGGTCGGAGGGGCCGAAGGGACCAAGCTAGATGATGACTTCAAGGAGATGGAAAAGGTGAGTGGGGAACCAGAGGAATCCCCAAAATCACCCCATGGCTCTTGTGGGATTGGCTGAATCCCTGAGCTGATGCTCACTGGGCTCTTGTCTCCTGCAGAAAGTGGACGTGACCAGCAAGGCTGTCACAGAAGTACTGACCAGAACCATAGAGTACCTCCAGCCCAACCCAGGTGAGGGCCTGCCCCTCCCTGTCCCCTTCCCAGCTTTCCAGGGAGATCAGGGAGATGCCTTTTGCTCCAGGTTTGGATCAGGGGGAGATCTGGGTACCCCTCTTGCCCTGAATCCAGGCTGCTGAGCAGGGACAGAACAGATGCAGCTTTTGCCTCAGACTTAGAGAGGCCCTAAGGGGACCCGTTTTTCTCAGAATGTCCAGGAAAAGGGGTGGTTTTGGGCTGGGAAGGGGGGGCTGGCTCTGTCAGCCCTGCATCCTTCCAGCCAGCTGCTCCAGAGAGCACTCCAGGGACCCTGGGAGGGCTGGGGAAACTCCTTTGGCCTTCCCTGGCCGAGCAGTGGGGAACTATTTTTGCTTTGTGCCTTGGCAAAGAACCTTTTCTTGTAGCGAGGGATATTCCTGGGGGAGGGACAAGGGGGCCTCTTGGCTTTGGGTGTAGCAGGGGGGAAAAAAAACCTGCTGAGGGATGCAGGGGTGGCAGAGGCTGAGGTGTTTTTGTGTGGCAGCTTCCAGAGCCAAGCTCACCATGCTCAACACGATGTCCAAGATCCGCGGGCAGGTGAAGAACCCCGGCTACCCCCAGTCCGAGGGGCTGCTGGGGGAGTGCATGATCCGCTATGGGAAGGAGCTGGGAGAGGATTCCAACTTTGGTGAGTGCCCCCTGGGCCTGGGGGGGCAGTGGGGCAGGCTCCTGATTCACTTCTGGGCTGGCACTCTGAATTCTGGAAGGGTTTGGGTGAACTTTGGGTGAACTGAACAACGCGTGGGGCTTAAAAGGGCTTCAGAAACTTCCAGAGTGAGCAGATTTCAAGGGAAAGAGAGGAGGTTTAGATGGGATATTGGAAAAAATTCCTGCCTGTGAGGAGGGTGAGGCCCTGGCACAGGAGCCCAGAGCAGCTGTGGCTGTCCCTGGATCCCTGGCAGTGCCCAAGGCCAGGCTGGAGCAGCCTGGGGTAGTGGAAGGTGGAACTGGATGGGCTTTAAGCTCCTTCCATCCCAAACCATTCTGTTATTCTGTGATCCCAGGTATCCTGCATCTCAATCCACTTTCTTATTAAACACTGAGATAAATCTGCACATAAAATAAAAACTTCCCTCTAAACTGAGCAGCAAAGCAGGAACGGGACTGAGCAGGACTGGGAGTTTCACACAGCTCTTAAGGATCCCTTCCAACCCAAACCTTGCTGTGATTCCATAGGGATGAAGCCAAGAAATCTTCTGGCTGTTCCTTGGAGCCACGTGTGACTGGCAGGGAGGAGGGGGTGAAGCCTTTTGGTGACATCAGTTTTAATCCCCTGGAACCTCGGCCAGCGCACGTGATGGCCCCCTGGCAGCACAGCTGGCTCTGCCAGGGCAGGGAGGAGCTGCCTTGCTTCAGGAAAATTAAAAACCTCTGGCTGCCTTTGGGACTGACAGAGGATTTTGGAGATCCTCCCTGGCCAGCTCAGAGCTCTGCATCAATCCTGGCTCACAGGGACTGTGGAGAGCAAGGGAAGGAAGCTTTTAGGAGAGCACACCGAACTCTGTTTCCTTAATGGCCTCCTTAAAGCAGCATTGAGGACTCCATCCCTCCCTTCCAGGTTTTTCAGAGTTATTACAATTGAAATAACACTTCTGGTCTATTGATTTTTCCAGCTGGACAGTGGAGAGATGTTTTCCCTTGACCCTCTCTCTCACTCGTGTATTTTCCTGTGTTCATGCTCTGCTGAAATTGTTGTTTTGCCAAAGCTGCACAGGAATAATTTCATCTCTAAATGTTTCCTCTGCACTAAAAAGCCAGCACTCAATATGCTTTGCTGCAAGTGTGCCTGGCTTAAGTGTCAGAGTGGCCAGAGCCTTAGAAAAGGATGGAGCTGAGCAGGTTTCAGTGAGTGCCTTTGAGCTCTGGGGCTGTCCAGGGCCAGCTTGGACCGGGCTTGGAGCACCCCGGGACCGGATGGGCTTTAGGGTCCTTCCAACCCAAACCACTCCACGACTGTGGGACCCACAAGGGCTTCCTGCTGAGAGGGAAGAAGGAAGGGATCTGAGGCAGATCCCTGGGCCTCAGGCTCTGTTTAATTCCCTGTCCCTGTCCCTGCAGGGGACGCGCTCCTCGACGCCGGCGAATCCATGAAGCGCCTGGCGGAGGTGAAGGACTCGCTGGACATCGAGGTCAAACAAAACTTCATTGACCCCCTGCAGAACCTGTGTGACAAGGACCTGAAAGAGATCCAGGTAAACACCCCTGTGCTTTGCTCTGCTCCTCATCTCCCTGCTCTCTGGGCTCTTTGGCTGCTGGGGCACGGAGCTGCCTGCTCTGCAGTGCTGGGAACCAGGGGCTGGCAGGAATTGCCTGCACTCTGTGTGTTTTCTCCCTCCAGACTCTCTGGTATTTCCTCCCTGCTCAGCGCTGCTCCTGCTGCTCCTGAGCAGCCCAAAAGGCTGCATGCAGGTTGGAATGGTTCTCCATTTGCCGTGTTTGATGGAGGGTGCCATGGGAATACATCCCAACACCTGTTCTGGGCTTGCTGAGTTGGGTTCTTAGTGCTGTGAGCTCCCAGATGGGATCAATTTGGGCTCCAAGCTCTGAGCAAGCTCCCCTCAGGTCTCGACTCGGCATCCCAAGGAGCCCTCTGGGGTCTCCCTGGGAGAGCAGGGAGCTCAGCAGCTCCTGTGTGCTGCACACAGACAAGTGCAGGCCCATCAGGATCCATCCCAGCCTCCAGTTCCCCAGGCCACTCTCCTGAGGGAGTTTTCACTGTCAGTGCTGTCCTGGGTGAAATAACCACCAAGTTCTGCCTCACTGCCTGTCTGTACTCAGTTCCACGGGGCTACTTTAAACATCCCTGCCCTAAGACCCAGGAGTGCAGTGCCCAGAACCCACATTCCTGCTGTCCAGAGATCCCTGCAGCTCCTGGGGAGCTGAAAGGGGCAGCACAGCTCTTCACCTTCACAAAAAGCTCCTGTGGGGAGCAGACCTGGGCTGCTCTGCAGCCTTTTCCTCTGTGGAAGGGGTCTGGACTCATTCCCCCATCACACCCCGGGGCCTCTCTCCCACCTGGAGCAAAGCTGGGAGCCACAGGAGATCAGGTTTCTGACACCAGTGAACTCAGCCTGTAACTGGAGCTGCCCTCCCAAGCCTCTGGCTTTTCCCTCTTCCCTGTTCTCTCCATCCTCCCCCAGCACCACCTGAAGAAGCTGGAAGGGAGGCGCCTGGACTTCGACTACAAGAAGAAGCGCCAGGGCAAGATCCCCGACGAGGAGCTGCGGCAGGCCATGGAGAAGTTTGAGGAGTCCAAGGAAGTGGCAGAGACCAGCATGCACAACCTCCTGGAGACAGATGTGAGTGTGGGACAGCACAGCTGGGGCTGCTGTGGCCCTGGGGTGGGATCTCCTGAGGGAGGCACTGATTACACACCGGTTTCCACTCCTGAGTGTGGGAAAGGCCAGAGCTGATGTGGCAGACCTTTGCTTAGCCCTGACCCAGCTCTTGGCCAGAGCAGAGCCCGTGCCTGGCACCAGACAGGCTCCTTTTGGGGTGCTGGGGGGATCAGTTTGGGAGGTAACCCAGCTGGGAAGGGTTTGGGAAGGATTTCCCAGCTGGCAAAGCCAGAGTGGCAGGAAATGAGCTCTGTCCTGGCAGTCTCAGCCGAATCCCAGAGCTCCTCCTGGGCTCCCCACGGCTGCCCCAGGGCAGTGCAGGGGTGTCCAGCTGGGGGCAGGTGCTGATCCCAGCCTGGTGTTGCCCAGATCGAGCAGGTGAGCCAGCTGTCAGCCCTGGTGGACGCCCAGCTGGATTACCACAGGCAGGCTGTGCAGATCCTGGACGAGCTGGCCGAGAAGCTGAAGCGCAGGTGAGTCCCCGTGGTTCCTCTGGGAACACCCGAGTCCCCTTGGAATCACAGAGTGCCCCAGGGGATGGGCTTGGAAGGGACCTGGGGGCTCACAGGGCAGGGACACCTCCCACTACCTCAGGTTGCTCTGAGCCCTGTCCAACCTGGCCTTGAAAAAGCCAATTCCTGTGGCTGTTCCAGGTGGGATTTGAATTTAGTTGGGTGTCTGATCCAGCCCAAATCCTGGCTGAGGAAGGCTCGTCCCACCTCTCCTTCCTCAGCCTCCCCACTCTGGGGAGGATCTGGCAGTGCTGCCCTGCTGCTCTTCTTTCCTGGGAGAAACTGCAGAGTGGATCCTGTGCCTGCTCTGAATTGGGAGGAGCTGGGAGGGCCCTGCCAATTCTGAGCTTTCAAACTACAGCACGAGTGTCCTCTGCTGGCCTGAATTCCTGAGCATTCCATAGCAAAACCTGGGATGTGTGGGCCCTTTCCGAGGGCAGATCCCAAACCCTGGGCAAGTCCCACCTTCCAAAGGCTCCAGGCACAGGGACTTGTGCAGATCCCTGTCTCCAAACCCCTTGCTGCCCTGTGCAGCCCCCCAGGAGGATAAACACCGTGTTGATCCCCTCCTGTTCCATTCCTCACTGCTCTTCCCCACGTTTCTTTTCCCTGTCCCAGGATGAGGGAGGCCTCCTCGCGTCCCAAGCGGGAATACAAACCCAAGCCCAGGGAGACGTACGACTTCAGGGAGCCTGACCAGTCCAACGGGGGCTTCTCCTGCAACCCCACCCCCAAAGTCTCAGGTAACGTTGTCCCAGGAGTTCACTGGTGCCTCTGGAGCAGCCTCCCAGGGAAGGAGGGCAGCTGCTCTGCCTGCACAGGACGTTCCTGCTGTGCTGTGTGCTCCTGCACGAGCCTGTGGCTCTGGAGAACGTCAGGAATGCCTCTAGATCGGGCTCTTTTCTCCTGGGACCCAGAAGCCTTTGCTGTGTTGGCTTTGGGGATGTGCCAGAGGGGTCTCCAGCCTGGGCCTCTCACTGTCAGTGCCAGACAGGAAAACTGAAGCCTCCCTCCCTCCCTCCCTTCCTCCCTCCCTCCTCCTCTTCCATCCCGCTGCATCCCTCCCTCCCTCCCTGATCCCGGCGGGTTCCTAACAGCATGGGGGCCCTGCTGTTTCTCCTGACAGATCCTCTGGGCCCTGCCTGTCCCTGTCTCCCGTTGGTTTAAGCATGTTTCTCTTTTGTTTGGAAGCAGCTTCCGCCTCTTTCCGGTCGGACAAGCCGTCCCGGGCCTCCGTCAGGAGTATCCGTGAGTTTCCTCCCTCTGCACTGCTCCCTGTGTGGCCTCCTCTCCCCATCCCTCCTGGCTGCTCCTCCCTGCTGCTGCTGCTGCTCCTTGGAGCTGCTCATCCCTCCGTGCTGAGCCTCAGCTGAGCCCTGAATTAACCCAGCCACGCTGCAGTGGGATTTTGCAGCCCCAAAAGCAGGGCCTGGCTCACCCGGAGGAGCTGCAGCAGCTCCCAGCACCCAGGCATGTCCTGATCCCTGGGGATCAGTGCTTTCCCTGAGACATCACACAGCTCAAGGATTTCCCTGTTCTCACAAGCACCCAGCCTGGATCTCTCCCACTCCTGCTCCCCCTGTCCCTGTGGAAGGCTGGAGGGAGGAGGCAGAGCCTCAGCTCGTGGAGTTTGTGGGGTGTGGGGTCTGTGGTTCCTCCTGCAGGACCTTGGGATCCCAGGGCTGGGCTGGGGCTTGGAGCCTGGAGCAGGGCCGTGGTGGTGGGGCCAGCCTGGTGGTTTGGGGAGCTCTCTCCAACCCATCCATGTCTGGCTGCTGCTTGTGGTGATCTCTGAGTGCTCTTCCCATGCTGGGCCCTCCCTTGCTGTGGGTCCTGGAATCATGGAGTGCCTTGGGTTGGGAGGGACCTTCAAAACCATCTCATCCCACCCCTGCCACGGCAGGGACACCTTCCCCTGTCCCAGGCTGCCCCAAGCCCTGTCCAGCCTGGCCTTGGGCACTGCCAGGGATATTCAGCAGCTGGATGTGCCCTTGTCCACTCCCTTGCCCTGGCTGGGGCAGCCCCAGCACAGTGGGGAGGGCTGGGGGGTCCTGCAGGCCCTGGAGGTCTCTCTTAGCTCTGCCCCTTCCCACTGGGATTCTCCCAGCTCCAAAGCTGAGTCCCAAAACGTCCGTGCACAGAGTGAGCAGCAGGAAATCCCACAGGAAATCCCACAGAAAATCCCTTTGCAGCCAAAAGGTGATGCTTAAATCCTGGAGCTGAGTTTGGGGAGCAAGATTTTGGCCTTCTCCTGAGTTTTGAGGGGCTGCTCATCTATTTGAAGCCCCGTGGCCAGGGAGGCAGCTGCTGTACTGTGCCCTTCAGGTGTGGGGTCCCCCTTTGAGAGTCCCCCTCCATGTCCAACCCCACCAGCGAGCCCCAGGGCAGGTTCTCAGCTCTCTGAGGGATAACATGCCTTGTCTGCCATCCCTCTGAGGCTGGAGTGCAGGAGGTGCAGGCAGGAGCAGCACAGGGACAGGGAATGGAGGAACTGCAGGAGCAGAGAAGGGCCAGTGGAGCCAGCCCTGCCGGTCCAGGCGGGATGCAGAGCCCTGGCAGGAGTCCCGGGTGCCAGGGCAGGGCACTGTGGGGTCCTGCTGACGTGTCCCCGCTGTCCCCACAGCCCCCCTGGACCAGCCCTGCTGCAAAGCCCTCTACGACTTCGAGCCCGAGAACGACGGCGAGCTGGGCTTCAAGGAGGGCGACATCATCACCCTGACGAACCAGATCGACGAGAACTGGTACGAGGGGATGATCCACGGCCAGTCCGGCTTCTTCCCGCTCAACTACGTGGAAGTGCTGGTCCCGCTACCTCAGTGAACCGGCGCCGAGTGTCCCGAGCTCCATTCCAGCTCCAGCCCCGCCTCCCCGCCTCGCCTCGGGGCCGGCGCTACCAGGGAACAAACCAGAAGGGTCCCACGGCCCCTTCCCCCCGTGAAGTTGGTTTTTTTTTTTTTTTTTTTCTTTTTTTTTTTTTTTTTTTTGTCCTTCTGGTGCTTGAAGTTCGGTACTTTGTGCGCCCCCAGCCCCGGCCGTGCTGCTGGCACTGCCCTGGCACTGCCCTGTCCCTGTCCCTCCCCACTTCCCGTCTTTCCTTTGGGTCCAGCGCCCGGATGAGGCAGGTGGCACAGCTGGGATGTGTCCTGGGCACAGGGATAGGGAGGTGGCACAGCCCAGGTGTGCCTTGGGCACAGGGATGGGCAGGTGGGAGAGCTGGGATGTGTCCTGGACACAGGGATGAGGAGGTGGCACAGCCCAGGTGTGTCCTGGGCACAGGGATGAGGAGGTGGCACAGCTGGGATGTGTCCTGGGCACAGGGATGGGCAGGTGGCAAAAGCGGGATGGCACAGCCCAGGTGTGTCCTGGGCACAGGGATAGGCAGGTGGCATAGCTGGGATGTGTCCTGGGCACAGGGGTGGCCCCGGGGCAGGGCAGCCCCAGCCCCACCCTCCTGCCCCAGAAACGCTGCCCCTGATCCTGGAGGGATCCCAGAGGGATCAGGGGAGGGGAGCTGGGGCACAGCAACACTAAAACAGCCAGAGAACACTAAGGCAGCCCTGCAGGGCAGGTGCTGAGCCCTGCCTGGGGCTCGGGGCCATCCCTGGGGCTCAGGGCCATCCCTGGGGCTCGGGGCCATCCCTGGGGCTCAGAGCCATCTCTGAGGCTCGGGGCCATCCCTGGGGCTCAGAGCCATCTCTGGGACTCGGGGCCATCCCTGGGGCTCAGAGCCATCCCTGAGGCTGGGGGCCACCCCTGGGGCTGGGGGCCACCCCTGGGGCTCAGAGCCATCCCTGGGGCTGGGGGCCATCCCTGAGGCTTGGGGCCATCCCTGGAGCTCAGAGCCATCCCTGGTGCTCGGGGCCATCCCTGGTGCTCAGGGCCATCCCTGGGGCTCAGAGACATCCCTGGGGCTCGGGGCCATCCCTGGGGCTCAGAGCCATCCCTGAGGCTGGGGGCCACCCCTGGGGCTCAGAGCCATCCCTGAGGCTGGGGGCCACCCCTGGGGCTCAGAGCCATCCCTGAGGCTGGGGGCCACCCCTGGGGCTCAGAGCCATCCCTGAGGCTGGGGGCCACCCCTGGGGCTCAGAGCCATCCCTGAGGCTGGGGGCCACCCCTGGGGCTCAGAGCCATCCCTGGGGCTCAGAGCCATCCCTAGGGCTCAGGGCCATCCCTGCCCATCCTGCAGGGACAGCAGGGATGTCCCCTGCTTGCCTGGCTCCCTCCCCACAGAGCTCAACCCCGTCAGGGTGTGCTGCTCCTTCTGCCCCTGTTTTTTTTTCCTGGACCTCAGGCTTTTCCTGCTCCAAACTCTGCCGTGTCTGTCACACCTGGAGGATCATTGTGAGGGGCAGGAGCTGGGCCACAGCCCGGGGTGTTCCTGTGGCTCCTCTGCCTGTTCCCCCTTCCCGGGGATCCCTCCTGTCCTGGAGCTCCCCTGGCCCTGCCGTGCCTTCCCTGCCCCCCTCCCTGCCCACAGCCCCCCTCCCTGGGGGCAGGGCACCCCTCTGCCCCTGGGTTGCTGGGAAAAGGGATGGTTCATCTCGGTGGCACTTCTGCCAGCCCTTCTCCCTCAGCGGAGCTTTTCCTGGCCGGGAGGAGGGCACGGGGCTGGCGTGGGGCCGCAGGGCAGTGCCTGCTGGGCTCCGTGGTTCCCTTGCTGCAAAAGTGGGTTCTTCCCTCGTGGGGCTGGGATGGGCCCCAGCCCTGCTGTGAGCCCCAGCTGTGCAGGGCTGTGCTCAGCACCCCTGTTCTGCAGCACCCCAGCTGTGCAGGGCTGTGCTCAGCACCCCTGACCCTGATGCATCCCTGTCCTGCAGCTCTGTGAGCCCCAGCTCTGCAGGGCTGTGCTCAGCACCCCCGTCCTGCAGCACCCCAGCTCCTCAGGGCTGTGCTCAGCACCCCTGTTCTGCAGCACCCCATCTCTGCAGGGCTGTGCTCAGCACCCCATCCTGCAGCACCCCAGCTGTGCAGGGCTGTGCTCAGCACCCCCGGCCCTGCAGCCCCCCAGCCCTGCTCCTCCTGCTCCCGTTCTCTGTAAGGATTTGGTCCGTGCATGTCCCCGTGTCTCTGACCCCCGAGCAGTGACCCCGGCCCCGGGGGGGGCACAGGGCAGCCCCCCCTGCTCCCAGCAGGGCAGGGAGCCCATGGGACCAGAGTCCTGGGGGTCCTTCCCGCTGTCCCCTCCCCGCTGGGGACACTGGCTCCCGCTCAGGTGGATTGAAACGCGTTCTGTCAGCTGGGACACCTCGCTAGATCTTTTGTTTGTTTGTTTGTTTGTTTGTTTTTGTAATGGTTTCTCCTGGTTTTTAGGGGAAAAAATGATGACCCACAATTCTTGACTTGTATCTCTGAATGAAAGTATTAAATGTTTTCTTCTTTCTAAGGGCTGCCTTGTGGAATCAGGGAATGGATGGGACCTGGAAGGTCACGGGCAGGGACAGCTCCCACTGTGCCAGGCTGCTCCAGCCCTGCCCAGCCTGGCCTTGGGCACTGCCAGGGATCCAGGGGCAGCCACAGCTGCTCTGGGCACCTGTGCCAGGGCCTGCCCACCCTGCCAGGCAGGAATTCCCTCGCACATCCCCTTAGCCCAGGCCATGGTAGGATGTCCCCAGCCAGCAGAGCCACCTCTCAGGAACTGCTCTTTAATCAAACTACCACTTCCACAAACCACTGACCCACGGAGTCCCCCCCGGCACGGCCGCCCCCGGGGCAGGGCGGGGCCGGGGGGTCGCGGGGAGCTCCGGGAGCTGCCCCGAGCCGGGGCCGGGAGAGCCCCGGGGCTGCGAGCCCCGCCCGGGCTGCGGGAGGCGCCTGGTCCGAGTCGAGGGGCCCCGGGCCCTCACCCGCTGAGCCTGAGCAGGCTGAAGATCTGCTCCAGGACGTGGGTGAAGCTCTGGTCTTTGGGGGTGCGGGAGGCCAGGGAGCCCTGGGGGGGGGGAACCCCACTTCATTCCAGCACAGGGAATGGGAGCCCCACCAAAGCCCCCTCCCCTCCCAGCCCTTCCCACCTTCAGCTTGTCCAGGTAGGTCTGGTCCTGACTCCACAGCTCCTGGAACTTCACCAGGTCGGGGGCTCCCTTATAGAACTCCACCAGCAGCGTCTGGGGGGGGACAGAGGGGCTGCAGGTCCTGGGGTGCCCCAAAGCCAGGCAGGGGGACCCCAACCCTGCGGCACCGAGACCTCAGTGGCCCCGGGGGGCTGGGGAAGGAACTGTCACCATCACCAGGGCTGAGGGCAGGATGGGGACAAGTGCTGGGGCGCCAGCCTGCCCCCAAGGGGCTCGGGGGGTTTTGGGGGCCCCCAGCCCCCTCTCACCATCTCCTGCACGACGTCGTTGGTGAGGAAGCCGTCCTGGATGTAGGTGACCTCCACCTCCATGGGGATCCCGTAGTCGTTGGGCCGTTGCTGGGGGAGGGGAGAGCCGGGCAGGGGTCACTGCACAGCTCTGGGACCTGACACCACCCGGGGGGGCGCCGGGTAGGGGGACCCCACCCCAAATTCCCTACCTCTGGCGGCGGCATCACCCAGAAGGGCGCGATTTTGGACTCCGCGCCGGGGTTGCCGTGGTAGAAGGGCCCTGTGGGGGACAGAGGGGGCTGGCACAGGGGGGTGGCAGCAGCCCCAGCCCCCTGGGAGCCCCGGGCCGCGGGCACGTACCGCAGATGAGCCCCAGGCAGGGCTGGAAGCCGTTGCCGCTGCCCTGCAGCTTGAGCTGGTAATCCATCTGCGCGTCGATGTCGTGCAGGGACGGCAGCGCGGGCCCGAAGGGGTGGCTGTGGTACCACCCCACCAGCGACAGCCCCCGCAGGAACAGGCTCTGGCAGATCTGGGAGGGGGCACAAACCGTGGGTCCAGGGCCTGCAGAGCCCCCTGCCCGCCCCCCGGGCTGGATCAGCCCCTCACCTCCTCCTCCACAGCGCCCGCGGCTTCGGCGTCGCCCAGGCGGGTCCGGCACGGGAAGGCTCGAAGCACCGTCAGCACTGGGGGGACACGGGGCCGGGTGACACCCCCGGCCCACGGCAGAGCCACCCCCACCCCCCCAAACCCCACCTACGCTGGGTGTTGGTGTCCCACCGCCCCCCCAGGTACCCCACCACTTCGCTCCGCGTCAGGTGGCTGTGGAAATCCTAAAGGAAAAGGTTAAAATCGACGGTTCAGCACTACAACGGTGACACGAGGGACACCCCGCTCGCTGCAGGTGTCCCCAGTGCCATCAGCCATGTCCCAGCCTGGGGAGGGGACGCACCAGGAGCAGCAGCACGTTGCTGGAGATGGCCACGTTGAAGGGCTGGAATTTGTTGATGGCGGCAAAGGACGTCACCTCCACCAGGGTCTGGGGGTTCCTGGAAAAGCCACAGCCCCGCTGCCACCGCTGTCCCCGGCCCTGCTGCGCCCCGGGGGCCCTCTGTCCCCTACCTGGCCGAGTCGCGGGTGCCCAGGGTGCAGTAGCGGACGGGCACCCGGGGTTTCATCTCCGGCCTCTTCCCGGGATCTGCCAAGGACAGGGTCCCGTCACCGCGGCCGCGCTGCCCGGGACCCCCGGCACCCCCACGGCAGCTCACCCGTCCCCGCCGGCTCCGCCAGGCTCTTGCCCTGCTGCTTCTTGCTCCTCTCCTCCGGCTTTTTGGGAGCCGCCGGCTCCGGCGCCGCCACCCGACCCTCCCTCGCCGCCTCCTCCTCCTCCTCCTCGGGCAGCTCCTCCTCCTCGCCCTCGCTGGCCAAGCTCTGCGGGCAGACGGGGCTGGCACGCGGCTCGCCCCCCACGCCGGGGGTGCCGGGGGGCGGTGGCCGCGGTCGCACCTCCTCGGGGGGCGGCACGTTGGGCTGGTGCTTGCGCAGCCACGCGGCCTTGTACTGGTCCAGCTTCTGGCCCTTGTAGCGCACGGACGCCCAGCCGCAGCCCGACTTCTTGGCGGGGTTCACCAGGCGCTTGCAGTGCGTGGCCCAGGCGCTCGGCGAGTTGAACACCTGCCCCGTCTCCTGCCACGTGATGGTCCCGTCCGAGCCCAGGTCCCCCACGAACTTCTTGCCCTGGGGACAATGGCGGCAGTCCCGTCCCCTCGTCCCCATCAGTTCTCCCTCAGGGCCATCACTGTCCCACGTTCGCCGTCTGTGTCCCTTGTCCTCATCCCACATGCCCTGTCCTCATCCTGTGTCCTTTTCCCTGTCCCATGTCTTCTGCCCCATCTCTGTCTCCTGTCCCATCTCTGTTTCTTGTCCCCCTCCTCATCCCCAGTCCCCATCCCTGTCCCCTGTCCCATCCCTTTTCCCTGTCCCCATCCCTA